ATAATTGCGGGAAGAAACAGGGTAGCCTATTTCAAGGTTCAGTTCTTCTGATAAGTCAAGCGCATATGATCAACATGTTTGACACTTGCGTTTGAAACAGCCAAATGAATTCCCTTTTGAATCTTGAACAATTATTCTTTCAAGTTTAGCAGAAAATTGAAAAAGGAAATTTTACAAACATGTTTAGATTTATCTTGTCTGTCATAGTACCTAACAAAGAGAACTGTGAATACCTGTCCTGCAAATAATTCTGGAAATTGGTGTTACAGAGTGAAAGCATACTGGGATAAAGCCAATGAAATAATCAATAAATACATGAGATAACAATAGCAAGCCCTTTTATGTATAAAAAGAAAGACAAGTGGCAAAGATTTCAGAGATTTCAGGATGTTAACATAAAGTATGGTACTGTCTACTGGATGATTCCTGGAAACAGATTCTTAGCATGAGCCAATCACATTTGTTTAAAAGAAAGCCCTAGTAAGTTCCACAGGGCTTATTTTCTGGGTAGGAATCAATAGAGAGCTAGCATGATGTGGCACAGCAAGTTAAACCGCTAAGCTGCAGAACTTGCTGACCAGAAGCTAGGCGGTGCAAATCCGCAGGATGGGGTGAGCTCCCTTTGTTAGCCCCAGCTTCTGCCAGTATTCTCAGAAGGCAATTAATGACTGGGGACACAACTGCTGGCGGTGTACAGTTTTGTTATTGGAACCAGGGCCTCTGCTGTTTGTGTTCCTAGAATTCTATTTGTATGGTGAAAGGTTAGAGGCGGTATAAGGAAAAATAAACTTTGGACTTATTACATGGTATCAAGTTTATTTTATTGACAGTTTACATTTTTATTCCTCTGAGTAGGCCTGTGATGCTGTTAAGTTAGCCCTGCTCTGTAAAGTGTTTAGCCACCACAGAGCTGATCCAGGGAGCATCCAAACTAATTTGTTAGTGTAGATTACAGTTGTGTGCAGAATTTGTTTCTTTTGTTTCCTCCGTTTCCTTCGGCACCTTCTGTGCTTTGGAAGCCCATAACAGTAAGGGCCCTCTTGGTATGAAAACACGCCCAACACAAAAGCAAGTTGGGAGCCAATCTCGGCTACTCTTCTGCTTTTCAGCCTCACAGTTTAATCTTTTTTATTATTATTAATCCTCAGCAAACAAAAAGAAAACCTTCATTCCCTGTTAACTACTTTCTCTTCCAGGAGGTTATCAGTTTTCCTTCCCTCCTTAAAATGTCTTAGAAAGAGTGTGCAGATTATGGCGTGGTGCAGTCCAAGAGAGAAAGCACCTCTCCTCTAGAGTAAGAAACTGAGAACTTGCCTCCTTGCCTTGGAAAGAGTACATGTGGTGTGCAGGCCCAGGAGAGAAAGTGTATGTGCTTCCCTGCAGCCAAGCGCCTGTCCTCTAGAGTAGAAACAGATAAGAAGCCTCCTTAAAGCACGCATCTGCCTGCAGCTGAGTGCCTCTTCTCTAGAGTAAGAAACAGAACTTGCTTCGGAAAGACTGAGTGTGGTGTGCTGGCCCAGGAGAGAAAGAGTGCACAGCTGCCTGCAGCCAAGGACCTCTTCTCTAGAGTAGAAACAGGTAAGAAGCCTCCTTAAAGCATGTGTCTGCCTGCAGCTGAGTACCTCTCCTCTAGAGTAGAAACAGCTTAAATTCCTAAAATGATGAGAAGGGGAACATGGGAAGCCTTTCCCTATAACGGGCTGATAGGAAACGGATCTTTCGGCACACCAGATTGAAAACAGATATCTGTCCTCCTGATTTTGGGAGGCTCCCAAAAAATGAATTGGAACTCCCACCAAAAGCCGGGACACGGAACAGGTCAAAGTGTCCCCAGATTGCACAAGCCTAGAGTAGATATATCCTTAGTCATCTTGAGGTTATCATCAACAAACTTTACAATTATGGGAAGGTTTTAACTTATTTATTATTATTTATTATATTATTATTATTTATTATGAGAGCCCTCAGTGGCACAGTGGGTTAAAGCGCTGAGCTGCTGAGCTTGTTGACCGAAAGGTCGCAGGTTCGAATCCGGGGAGCGGCGTGAGCTTCCGCTGTTAGCCCCGGCTTCTGCCAACCTAGCAGTTCAAAAACATGCAAATGTGAGTAGATAAATAGATACTACTCTGGCGGGAAGGTAATGGTGCTCCATGCAGTCATTCTGGCCACATGACCTTGGAGGTGTCTACGGACAATGCCGTCTCTTCAGCTTAGAAATGGAGATGAGCACCGCACCCCAGATTTGGACATGACTGGACTTTATGTCAGGGGAAAAACATTTACCTTTACCTTTACCTTTTCAACTTAATACTTTTCTTTCCTTGGCAGAAAACTAAATGTACCCAGGGACAAAGGGGACATAGTCTTAGTAGACCTGCCACTCCATCCTGTGTTCATAGAGTTATGCCTCTAGCAACAAGAGAATGTTTATCTGTGGACCCAGGATTTACAATACAAGCATCACATAAGTAAAATATTAACAGTGATTCATCAAGACAGTATCCATTTCTTTAGAAAAAAAGTCAACTCTGCAACAATAAAAGCACCCTTATTGATAAGTATCTCCAAACATCTGGTGGCATAAGAAGGTCTTTGTGGCTCTGTTTAGGAAGAGAGTTTTGTAGGATGGGCATCATAGCAGTCAAAGCTCCTTTCGGAATAATGTGTTATTTTATTTGTGACTTAATGTGAACATTTTATTTTGCCTTTAGTACTGCCTGAGCTGTGCCTTCAGTAAAATTACTGAAAGCTGCCAGTAGTTTAAATAAACACCTCATTCAGCATAAAAGGAAGCAAATTGGCCTCCCCCTTTCTCGTAGATTAAAACATGCCTGGCAAACATGTTCTTCCTACTGGGGGGTGACTGGCAAATGGGGCTTCACATCTCACAAAATACCTTGAATACGCATGCTGGAGTTTCACCTTTTGGGGCACTTCATTCAATTCATGCAAAACAGTTACAGCAGCTGTTTGGCTGTAGTAAAGCAGCAAGAAAATGACAGGAAAATAAGACATCATTAGTGGTGTTCCAGTCTCTCTGCCTGTATTTCCGTGCGGACTATATTTTGCCTCAGCATTCTTTTTCTCCTGACCTTGGGCATGACCTGTCATTTTTGGTAATGGGTGCTGCATTTTGTACGTGCATTTATGTATATGTGTGTGTGTGTTTTTAAGAAGGGCACTTGCCATTTGTTTGAAGCAGCAAGGTACAAATCGTTAAATAATGTATGCCTTGTGTAGCATTCTAACATATGTCGCTTGCATTGATTGCATGAAAAGATTTCAAAAGGACGTATTTTATCAGCGTTGTGAATAAACAGGGATCACTAAAGCAGAAGCAATGTTTAATTTGCTCTTCTTCAAATAGAAGCAGCTTGCCTTTTTCATTTTGTGCTCATACGTAAAGCTCTTACACAAAGACCAAAATGGACTTTTGTAAGATATCTGTCTCCTTTTTTGAGGTGCAGGTAAAAACAGCTTTACAGAAAGATGGTTTTAATAGATTTAAAAATTAGAAGAGAAAAATGGTTAAGTAGTCTCCTCTCAGCCCCTGCTTCTCTTGGAGTAGCCTTCCCAGGATGCTCTGGGTTATAAAAAGAAGAAGGCAATACAAGTTTATTTTTTTGTATTAAAAGCATTGCATAAATAGATAAATTTAAAACTGATAAAATAAAGCAGGGGTCCTCAAACTTTTTAAACAGAGGGTCAAGTCACAGTCCCTCAAACTATTGGAGGGCCGGATTATAATTTGAAAAAAAAAATGAATGAATTCCTATGCACACTGCACATATTTTATTTGTAGTGCAAAAAAACACTTTAAAACAATACAATAATTAAAATGAAGAACAATTTTAACAAATATAAATTTATTAGTATTTCAATGGGAAGTGTGGGGCTGCTTTTGACTAATGAGATAGGATTGTTGTAGTTGTTGTGTGCTTTCAAGTCATTTCAGACTTAGGTTGACCCTGAGCGAGGGCCGGGTAAATGACCTTGGAGGGCTGTATTCGGCCCCCGGGCCTTAGTTTGAGGAGCCCTGAAATAAAGGGATTACAAGCAGCTAAATAGTTTTGGGTAAAAAATGGGCAACAATGACCGCATGTCTGTAGCTTTAAACAGTTCTTCCTCTGTGCATGAGGCAGAGTATTGTGAGCAAGCATACAGATGCTCCACAGTCGCACAAGGTGAAGGATTCTTCTAGGTAGTGCCATTTTGCCAGGTTGTCTTTTGATCTTCCCACTCCACTTCTGAGTCTGTTCCAAGTTGCCCATTCTTGGTTTGACCCTGGAGGAAGACCCTTGTGGGGGGGGGGGGACGACACATCCAGTTGGGATTTCCTGGTTTAGTTGCCCAGAGAGATGCTCTTGCTGTTGCTGGGGGAACATGATGAGAAGTGGTGGTTCTCATGAAGCTTTCCCCTGATTTATGTCTACTGGGAGGAGGCTGATAGCCATGCAGTGGGTGGCTTTCACAGTGTCCAACCTTATTTCTCTCACAACTGACCCAAAAGCATTGCTTTACGACAACATAAATAATACCACAGAGGAAATTAATATGGAATTCTGGACATTTCTAGTGGGTCACTATAACCTTCCCTACATCTTGCCTAAGTGTTTTCGATGGATGTGTAGCACTGATTAGGAAAAGATAACTTATTGACCTGAACTCTCCAAAAGTCATCTAAAGAATTAATTACATGGTGATTCACCATTTCCTCTCTTTTAATAGAGATGTCTGAGCATCTTTTTGCTGTGTTTTCGCTCACTAGTAATTGAAACATAATTTTGCTTTATTCTTGCCTTAGAGCCTAGTTATCATTCATTGCTGTTCATGATTTCCATAATAACATGGGGAATTGCCCCACCACTCTGATTATATCATTTAAGACTTCAAACATTTTTTTTGTTTTAGTATGTCCATTTATTTTTTCTAAAAATCACATTCTTTTTTGTTTTTTATCAACTTTTTTCATTTCTTTCATTTGAAATTTTATTTTTCAGATGTCTTTCATTGAGCATCACATCCCACTTCGTCCAGTTAAAACCATTGCAGAGGTAACAGGCAATAGATGTGCAACTGGCATAGGTGCATTGAAATAATGTATAATGGGGTAATTCAGTCCAGAGATATTGTCTATGGCACTATAGTAATAATGCTATAGTAATGACCTGTCTATATGGGCCACATACCCCAAGTTTGACCAGAAGTTGCTCCTGGGCATCCAAGCAAAGTCAGAGACTTCTGGTCCCTAACACAGGATAAAACTGCCTATTCCAATTCTACCTCATGTTAGGAAAACCACACTTCGATGTTTGTAGGTAAACAGCTGAACCAGTTCTGACTTTGAACTGAACAAATACTCTAGTGCAATCCATTGAAGGAAGTATATGTAATGTAGAATAAATTATTTGCTTGATGGCTCTACCATAGTTCATTGTAGATTTATATAAGTCATTTCTTATCTCTATAAAGTAACTTCCAATTATAAATGTCATGCTAACTGCAATTACAAATTGAGAATACCTGAAAAGTTACTTTGAATTACTGGAAGTTGCAAGTACAATAGTATGGTCAGAATCTTATTGGTAGCAGAAATTGTATTCAGTTCCTTTTGATGTATCTTTTTTAGTTACATGCAGTGAGTTATTTCATCTGTATCACTTATTATCCCATTGGGCCCTTGGGGGCATAGTGGGTTACACCACTGAGCTGCTGAAAATGCTGACCGAAAGGCTGGAGGCTCGAATCCACGGGACAGGGTGAGCTCCTGCTGTTAGCCCCAGCTTCTGCCAACCTAGCAGTTCAAAAACATGCCAATGTGACTAGATCAAACAGGTACTGCTTTGATGGGAAAGTAACAGCACTCCATGCAGACATGCTGGCCACATGACCTTGGAGGCGTCTACAGACAATGCTGGCTCTTCGGCTTAGAAATGGAGATGAGCACCAACCTCCAGAGTCGGACACGACTGGACTAAATGTCAGGGGAATTCCTTTACCTTTACCTATGCTTTATTTACTCTACCTAGTTCTGGATATGAGGCTTGTAACTTTTCTTATACCATGATTATGGAATCACATATGCTACTCAGATAAATTTTAAGTTCTTAGTAATTATATAATTTCACAGTTCCCAGAAGATGATGGAAATCACACCATATCTGCGAATGCTCAGTATCCCTGCTGTAGTAATACCAAAAAGTTCAGATTGGTGCTGAACATACACTGAAAATGTGTTTATAAACAAGCTGACACCAATCTTTCCTAACCGTGATGTGTCAGAATACAATTCCTATCATTTATAAATTCTCCCAGTGGTCACAATGATTAGGGGATGATGGTCCAGTCCATTTGGAAAGTGCTAGAATTCAGACTGATGGTCACAAAGCAACAGCGTAGCAGGCAAAGCAGCTCAAACAGAGAATAGCCATTCAGAATTAATTTTATTGTCAATCTCTTGAAAATGTTGGATTTTCCTCTTGAAATTACAAAGTGCAAATGCCCTTGAGTGCACACAAATCTCTGATCTGTTGTAATATCTCCAGGTTCCAAGGAGATAACCTTGGATCAGACCAAGCAGGCCAAATTTACATACTACGCTGTAACATTAAAAACTAACCTATTAATATTCCCGGTATTGTTGAGGGAACTATATACAACATGAATAAACACAATATTGAATGCTTCTTTATCTTTCAGGAGACCATGAAAGCTTAAAATAATATGACTACCTTCCTTTCTGCTTTCTCTCCTCAAGGTTCCATCAGAAAAAATCCTCCGAGCTGGAAAAGTATTACGGACTGCCATTCTCTCCCGGGCACCTCACATGATCAGAGACCGGAAGTATCATCTAAAGACATACCGGTACTTGTGAACAGAGTGTATACTATGGGAGAGGGGGGCAAGTGTATAAACACTCTTCTTGTAATATTTAATTATAGCTTCCATCCTTCAAAGTTCCATATAGCCAACCTATTTGGCATATTGTGATTATGCTCCAAGCATTCTAACCTGTGCCCCTAAACCTCTGCTCTACTTAAATAGCCACCACTGCATGTATAAAACAAAGATCCTGATTCACACAAGACATTAGTTCTGGTGGAATCCCACAGATCTGTTTTCCTTACATGCCCAATGTTGTGCTTAAACTGAAGCCTTCTCTTTGATTTTCAGAGAGCACTGGATAAAGGATATATATTATATATATTTGGGTTCCAGCTCCTTACAGACCCAATATAGGGGTGATAGAAATTTGAGTCCTATAACATGCAGGATGGGCCAGAAAATGGACTACTTGGAACTCAATGAGTCTTACCTGAGAACAGATGAATACAGGATCCAGAGTATAGGAAAGTGTAATTTTTTCTAAGGTTTGATAGGATTGCACAGTCTGTTTATCTGTATTTTTGCATTTTCTGAATGAACGTTTTCATAGATACAGATCTTCGATTATTAAATAATTGGGTTGCTGTGAGTCTTCCGGGCTGTATGGCCATGTTCCAGAAGTCACACAGCCGGAAAACTCACAACAACCCAGTGATTCCGGCCATGAAAGCCTTCGACAACATGTTAAATAATTGTTTCATTCATCCTGTTGGTGGCAGCACTGCCTTGTTAAAACAAGTTAGTATTGTCAACCTGTCATGATAACAATTTTAAACAACTTCAAACTTCCACTAACATTTCCCATCAACAGCTGAATTAAATGCCCTCAAATCCCCCCATACATTCTTTGTATTAAATGCATTTGAGTTGGGGTATTTTTCTCCCCATTAGAAACAAAATGGGTATCAAAATATATTATATTCAATCTGCAAAAATTTAAATTATGCACAACTCTTTTCTCAGAACAGCAGAAGGGAATTAATTTCTATCTGGAAGTAATTCTTTGTCTATGTCTGATTTTTAAAAAGAAATTATAAAACCTATGAGTCACACATTCTTTGTCTCTGTGTTCCCCAAATTAATATAAAGCACCAACGATTAAAATAAATCCCAGAAAGCAGCAATAGGCTAAAAGACATTCCATATAATTAAGCAGCAGTCCATAAATCAACCACCAAAAGTCCATTGCTCACTGAGGATTAAAACGCCGATATATTAGCAGCAGGGCTATTTTAGAACAAAAGGTAACATGGAAATGCCCTTATGGTTTCTGTAATGAATAAATAAAACATTCAGTGCGTAATCAAATTACTATTGCAAGGTAGTCAGATTAGCTTTCCTCAAGAGGCCAGTTCAAAATGGTAAACACTAATGGAAAGTATTCAATATTATTTTAGTTTATAGACATATTTTGTTTTATAAATGAACTGGAATCTTTAGATTTGTCTAAACTGGCCATATAACCCAAAGTGAACCAGAAAACGGTCCTTGATGTCCGAAGGATGTCCAGGGACTTCCAGTCCTTAATGTGAGCTAAACCAGGTTGAACTAGATTAACCTCACATTAAGTTAAATCAGGGAATGCACTCGAGTTTTGCCAATAATCTGGAGCAGCCCTTCATTTTGAGCAGGGTATGGACATCCCTTCACTACCATCTGAATACCTCCATGACCTCCAGAGCCATTCCAGAGTATTTCTGCTCAGACTGGCCCCAGATTTTATGGTAGGTGTAGATCAGCCCTTATATTGGGTTGCTGTGAGTTTTCTGAGCTGTGTGGCCATGTTCCAGAAACATTCTCTCCTGATGTTTCACCCACATCTATGGCAGGCATCCTCAGACGTTGTGAGGTCTATTGGAAACTAGCAAGGGAGGTTTATATAACTGTTAAAGGTCCAGGGTGGGAGAAATAACTTTTGTCTGTGGGAGGCAAGTATGAATGTTGTAATTAATCATCTTGATTAGCATTTAATGACCTTGCAGACCTGACTGATTCCTGCCTGCTGGAATCCATTGTTGGGAGGTGTTAGCTGGCCCTGATTGTTTCATGTCTGGAATTCCCCTGTTTTCAGAGTGTTGTTTTTTATTTACTGTCCTGGTTTTAGAGTTTTATATTCTTGTACTGCTTCAACAATGTGTATCCCAATCTCAATCAACATATTATATCTTGTTTGGAACGGCATAAAGCAAGGGATTGATTGATTCTTAAAACTTGGGAAATATACTTTTTGGAAGACAACCCACAGAATCCCTTTCTTGAGCTCTGACTACTGTCGCTCTATATTTCAGTCTGTTTCTGCATAGTAATTCTCATTCCATCCAGTCTGTCATTGTCACTCTTTTCTTGCTACAGATTTTCCCTTAATGCAGAATTTTGTGTGCTTCAGTATTATTCCCAATTTCACATAGAACCAAAAGATCTCATAAAAGATCACACACACACACACACACACACACAGTATATATATTCATAAATGTGATCAACAATGGTGTTGGCCAACTTTCTTCAGTAATTTTCTGTTTGTACAATATGGTAGGGGAATATTTACGAAGACAACATCCTAACCTAACGTAGGTCATACAAGATCACTTTAGTGGTACAAATATTTTTGTCCAAGTCATAATAGAATAAATTAGTCGCTCTTAAGTTAGTTGCCTTGGATACTGTAACATGGCTAACTTGTCCTTCAGTGTGACCTGAGCTGAACCAACTTATTCTGTGTTTAGTCCACTAAGTCTACATTCTCATGTTACAATCATATCAGAAGTTGGAAACATTACATTTTTGGACTACAACTCCATGAACTTCCCACACTACTAGCTGAGATTTTGGGAGTTGTAATCTAAAAAAGCAACATTTTGTGCTCAGCAGAAATGAGGGGTGCTATTTTCATTCATGCTGTTACTATTATTAGTTTTTAAGAAATGTTTAAAAACCCCTACAATATATAGATCTGAGAATATACATTCAAATTTTGTCTACTTTGTACTTTTTTCCCCTGTGTCAGGAGTGACTTGAGAAACTGCAAGTCACTTCTGGTGTGAGAGAGTTGACCGTCTGCAAGGACATTGCCCAGGGGACACCAGGATGTTTTTGATGTTTTATCATCCTTGTGGGAAGTCCCCGCATGGGGAGCTGGAGCTGACAGAGGGAACTCATCCATGCTCTCCCCAGATTCAAACCTCCTATCTGTCGGTCTTCAGTCCTGCCGGTGCAAGGGTTTAACCCACTGTGCCACTGGGGGCTCTGGTTACTTCGCACTGAATGTCTTTTTAACAATAATCCTGCCAGGCATAAGGGTTTGTTTGAAATAAAATTTTGCTGAAGTGTTGCATTTTTCAATAGGGAAATAACATAAAATCTTATAATTTCAGCACACTTTCCTTGTAAATTCAGCACACTTTATCAATTTGTCCTAGATTTTCTACATAAACAGTTTCTAATACTAATAATAATAATAATCATCATCATCATCATCTTTATTTATACTCTATGGCCCGTGTCAGCTTATAATAATGTTTTAATGAAATGGATAATTAATTGAGCTTTTAAAGCATACTTCATCATAGTGGAATTTAAACTTCAGGAAGGGGAAATGTGGCATCCCATCATCAAGCTGTTCTTACATTAGTCACTTCTTACTGAATCAAGGGGTGCATGTGGGATACAACCATTCTCCTCCTAATATAATGGAGAAGGCAGAAGGTCAGCACCCCCTTCCCATTCTTATCCACCTGCGTGGAAGATGTGAGAACTCCCTTTGCTGCTTCTGTGAAACCCTCAGGAAGATGGCATGACGTGAGTTATGAAGTGAATGACTTTGTGCCATGCTTTGAAATTTCATTTCAAGGGAGTGAGCAACCCTCTCCTTTCATCAACTCCAGAAGTTTTGGGGAGCTTAGGGGCTGGGTGGGCTCATGTTGACTTGTGTAGACCCTGAGTCTGTTGGAACTTGAGGAAGGCTCGCACAGTGAGCACCTTCAAAAGCACAGCACAGCTGACTTTTTCACCGTGAAGATGGATGGCACCAGAGGCAATAATAGCAGAGGAATTTTCTTTGCTTCCAAATATCTGCAAAAAGACAGAAATCCTGCTCCCATCTGGCATTCAGTGAGAGAACCTTCTCTATGATGTGTGGAGATCAGAGGTGTGGGTGAAGGGTCTCCTACTGTGTACTCTTTGAATATCTCTTTGTCAGGAAGTGATTTGTGGTTGCCAGTGAAATCCTGGAGCCTATGTATACTGGATTCTGGATTCAGTACTACTTTATGACTGCAAAACAAAAAGCATCAACAGAATCACCAGCCTACTGCCTTGTTTGTAATTGTATATGGGCATTCTTGTGGGAACGAGGAAGAGAGCCTTCTCTGCTGTGGCCCCCCGGCTATGGAACCCAGTACCTGGTGAGATTAGGCAAGCCCCCACCCTAGAAGCCTTTAAGAAAGATCTTGGCTTTTCCAATGTGCCTTTGGAGAGTGACCATATATTCCAGTCCTGTTGTTTCACCTACACTGTTTCTCTCATATCGCACTTCCCCCCACCTTATTGAAAGTCTAATTCCACTGTTCAGTCCCCTATGAGCTCCTCTCCTACAAATATACATTTTCATTGCTATCTCATACAGTGTTTTATCATTTTATGTTGTGCATTTGGCCCACCCACTGTGTTTATTTTCCATTATGTTATTTTGTACTGTTTATTTTACTTGATTGGTTTATTTATTTTATTATTTTGTTGTTTATATTTTTTGTTGCTGTAATGTATCGCTGGGCTTGGCCTCATGTAAGCCACTCCGAGTCCCCTTTGGGGAGATGGTGGCGGGGTATAAATTATTATTATTATTATTATTATTATTATTATTATTATTATTATTGTTAGAAACACAACAAGATGAGTCACCAGCAGACACTCTGCTGGCTGTTGTATTGGATCATGCGTCGGACACTTCCCAAGTGTCTAGGACTGTGTGATGTATCGACGAATAATGCGTGGAGATCCCAGTAAGGTGGCCTTTTGCTCCAAAACTCTGTCTGTCTGAAGTAGCTTGACATGTTCATTCTCTGTCTACTCTGGGACTTACAGATTATTATTATTATTATGGTTATGGTTATTAGTAGTGATTATATTTCTATTATAATGATTTGTTATTACAAAACAACTTCCTCCTTCAACTCCATTCTTCCCAACAGGGTTTTCTTAGATGATGTGTTACTATTTACCTGTTGTATATGTGCTCCCTGGAGTGCCTTGCAAGCCACTCTGAGTCCCTTCGGGGAGATGGCGGCAGGATATAAATAAAGATGCTGATTATTATTATTATTTCCCGCTGTATTTCCCACTCATGTTTTCTCTTTAGCTGCCTTAATGTGCACACATAGGACTCTTTTCTCAAAAATATGAATAAATTGTGTGTGTGTGTGTGGGGGGGGGGGGGGGTCAAATGTAGGTGGCTTTTTCTAGTGCGCCTTTGAATGAATTTGCACCAATTTTTCAATTTTTGTGTTATTTTGCTAATGCTCTGAGTCAATTAGTCAGTTCCCATCTTATGAATTCACTTTGCATATGTTGTCATGTCGATAGGAAACCTGTGGCTCTCCCAATATTGAACTATAGTTCCTTTCATCCATAACCACTGGTCACACCGTCAAGGCCTTATGGGAGTCCTAAAACCTTTGAAGGAACACAGACTAGACTAGGAACTGCCTATGGGCTAGACACGGTCCAGAGTTCAATACTTCTTTTTCTTCAGGGTGCTGTGTTCTTTTTAAAACCAAAACAGTCTTAAAGGTCTGCCAGTCTTGAGTTATATGTACTAAAAAGTGTTTAGTCCCAAAACACCTGAAGTGACCCATGTTTCCTGCCCCTGGCATTGCTCATAAATGAAGTTAGCTAAGAGTGAGCATTGCTATCTGCTATGAAAACTTCCCCACTTTCCAAGTATATGAAGGAGTGGCAGAGATCCCCAGGCAAGCTTTTGTTCTGTTGTGTCTGGTTTTCATTCCCTCTGTGTCAAAGTGGCATGAATCACTAGCTGGGACCAGGGGCATATCTAAAATACATGCAGAATGCTGTCTGAATTCATCAGAGTTAGATAGATGGATCTAGATATGTCTACAGGACTGGCTGACTCACAGGGGTTACTTTTTCCGGAATGTCTTGGATTGCTTTTGAATTATTCCTAAAAACTGGCTGTTTCTGACAGTCCTTCAAAGTGAGATAGAAAGATTATATTGAGAGAATTGGTATCATTGCCTTCTGTGATGAGGTCTGGCTTGTCTAGCTGAGACAGAGTTCCTTGCAGCCATTATATCTGATAACAGCAAAACTGTTTCCCCTCTCAATTTTTTTCTATTTATTTTAAAATAATTATAACACAACAAGTGCATTGAGAAGAAAAAAATCAGCTTTTGCTGTACATAAATATAAAAGAACAACCTTTCTCTCCTTTCCCTTCAGACAATGCTGTGTTGGAACAGAACTGGTAGACTGGATCATGCAGCAAAGTTCATGTGTTCATTTACGCACCCAGGCTGTGGGCATGTGGCAGGTATTGCTGGAGGATGGTGTTCTTAACCATGGTAAGCAGAATACATGGCTTTGTAGTATGTGCTTCTTGGAAATGCTATTATTTTCCGCGAAGAAATTGCTGTATTTTTTTTCTGTACAAAACAATTGTACTCAAACTTTATGTAGGATATGCCCCAAAATATGAATAGTTTTTTGAAAATTGTCCAATTTTCAAATACTTTGTTGTAGCAGGAATAATATTGTCAAAATTGCTCACTGTTTCCTTGAAGAAGATTAGCAAATAATTGCTTCACTGTTGTACATATAGTGAAAAACAAGACAACACAAAACAAATGGAAGCAGAAGTTGGGAGGAGAGAGAGGATAGACGCACTGAGCCTTCACGTCCTTTTCTGGGCAACGGTTGGGGTCAGGGTGGTCTCATTACTAATAAGAGGTGTACTTTCTGGCAGAGAGAATAAAGCCAGGTTCCCTATTCATTGTCCAGCTCTATCCCTGGACAATGAATAGTGCTGGGTTGGCCTCCACTTCCTATGACATTCACTCAGCAGTCTCCTAATGGTTGGCAGTTCCCTGGCCAATGGACAACTGCAGGATGTGATGCCCTTTTCCTACCCAGTCCCAGCCTTCTTCCCCAACTCAACAGCGGGAGCCAAATATACAATATTAGGTACCCTCTATATGCATATAGGAGTCTAGAAGTCAACCCAAAAAATGTGTCGATTTATCTATGGGTCACTGGGAGTACTGTACCTTAACTCTTATTTTAAAAGGAACCATTCCCTTATCAGAGTGAAGTGGTAAAAGGCAATAACTTAGTCCATTCCAGGAGAACCTAAAAGAAGCACCAGTGCTGTCTACTTACTCCGTCGTGGTGCTGCTTCTGGCCTTTTTGAATGCCTGTACAGGGAAATGGGGCAGAGTTCAGGGGTGACTGATGCCATGAGGCATCATTGGTGCTTTCTCCTCTCTGAGGAATGACCCTTGACTTTTCCACAGGTCATATCAAAATCCATAATTTGGGTGCCATAATCTGCCCTCAGCTTATTTATGAGGTTTTCTTCTACATTGATATATGTGGTAACTAATGGTACATACTGATTAAAATGACAAGAAAATCCCAGTTTCGTTTCTGCTCTTTTATACTTTATTTTGGATATCCATACTTGGAATATTTTCTGTCTGTTCCTAATATGATTAAAGACTCCTATTTGAGCTCCTTAGGTCAGTTTATTTTAACGCAGCAAAAAATCTGAAAGGACAGGTACAAAATCTGACAGTCTGGTTGTATCCTGAGACTATCAAGTAAACTAAAGCATCACAACCTGCCATTAATTCAACACATCCGTTTTCTTCATATGATGAGCATACAAGGCCCAGCCTTAACATTATTAAGGCAGCTGCCTCAAGCAGAAGGTTTTGTATTAGAATATTAGGACAGAAATTGTAATATTTATCCTGTAAGAGATGAGAACAGATGTTTGTTAGATTTTCTCTTTCATGCATCAAAATAACTTGGCTTGAGTTGATGCACCTTGACTGGGCCAGCTCTGCTTCATACCTTAATTGTTCACTTCCTATTGATGTTTTCAGTGGATCAAGAGCAACACTTCCAGGACAAGTACCTGTTTTATCGATTTCTGGATGATGAGCATGAAGATGCCCCAATGCCGACTGAGGAAGAGAAGAAAGAATGTGATGAAGAGCTACAAGACATCATGCTTCTACTGTCTCAGATTGGTCCTGATGCCCATATGAGGATGATTCTAAGAAAGCCGTAAGATTATTAATTCTGATTTTTAGAGTTTCAGCTTATATTCAAGTCACCTGTTTTCCTAGTTCTTTGTCGTAAAATTAGGTGCCTCAGCTTATATTTGGATCAAATTATACTTGAGTATATATGGTATATATATTTGCAAGATATTATCTGTATGTAGAAACAATATATCAGGAAAAAGTTCTAGTATAATGTTTCCCCGAATGCACTAACTTTCAACGTGAAGGAATGTATTTGTGGGAAGATGGAGCGGTGAGCTGCTAGCATTCCCTGCTATGAATCGCCATGGTCTAGTCCTGACAATAATTGCCTGCCCCATATTTGAGAACTTGTATTACCTATCTCATCTATAAGAACTAAGTCTTTATTAAATTAAATATTGGAGCCAGATTCTTATAGTTCACAAGATGTGTGGGCTTGAAAAGTACCTTCATTTTGCCAATTGCAGCTGCTGAGATTTTTCAGCAGAGTGCAAAAACTTACATAATTACCCAGAAAGAAATAATGCATTTTTTAAAAAAATCTGAAAAGATTCCTTTGAGCATTTGATTGTATAATGATGCTGTTGCTTTACGAGGTGCTCACTATTGTTTCGAATTTGAAACTCACTTGCAAAATGTGTCACTTGTTTTGACAGCAACTTTAAAAATTCTCTATTTATTACATTAACGGCAACATTTTAACTGTCAAATGATGAAAGAATGTCTCTAGTGTTTTAAAAAAGAATAAAGCTTCAAGAGGGAAATTGGCAGAGTTCTGTTGCTATTGGGAAGGTTTTTTTTCCCTTTTTGTTAAAAAAACACACACATTGCTATAAATGGAAAATTGGCTTCTTTTTTTCAGTGCAGCAAACACAGCTCTTTCCTTTTAATAATAGTAAGACGTAAAAAGCCGTAGTATACTCTTGGAAAATGCTCGAAGACCGTGGCTTCCATTTTTAATATTATTATTATTTCACAATTCAAAATTGACAACCTAAATTGAAATTTTCTTTTCAATCTGTATTTAGTTGATTTAGCTGTTGGCATGAAATGCTAGTTCGTTCTCATTTAAGCACACACGGAAACATTTAAATGCTATGAGTTAGTACTTTTAAATTAGAAAATGTTGTCCTTAAGTAGACAATTGCTATTAGATGCAGGAAGGGGGGCTTTTCTTCCTTTCCTGGAGCCAAATTATAAAATTTCTAGTCCTTTTAAAAAATGTCAATGGCAACTAAGAAACCTGATCCAGATTACTGAAAGAGAGGGGTGGTGTTTCAATGTTTCCCATTTCACTTTCCTAATTATACTTTCTCACCACTGTACTGCCATTTACTCTGCAGGGCAATGATGCAGAAGGCAGGTGGGAACCCATATATTTTTCCCCAAGGAGCTAGTAGCACCTTTTGGATGGAGCAATTTTGCATCTGCAGGAGGGCAATTATATTCCTCCTCAGATGCTGCCATTTGCTTTCAGAAGAAGTCACATAGCTACCTTTGGGGGCCTCAAAACACAAAGTTTCCAATGTCACATCTATTTCAGCTTTGAGGTGTCATGTGACTTGAATGAACCTTAAAGTATGATTTCGGTTTCTGGATTATGTGATTGTAATGTGTATATTATATGTTTTTAATTCCATGTTTTAAATGTCTAGATGTTTGTTTTTTATTCAATATGGTTTAATACTTTAATTAATAGTTATATGTTATTGCTATTCTTACGCTATGTTTTTTAGATGTTTGGGTGACTGAATTTTTGCCATGAATATGTTGGAAACCGCTTTGTGTCCTCCCTGGGGGAGAAAAGTGGTATATAAATGAAGTTAATAAGTAAATAAATAAATGATCAAATAACATCAGATGAATCAGTTTTCTGCCAGAAGCAAAAGAGGAATGGAGTCCTCAGCAGACAGGAGTCTTTTGTCCCATTTTCCTAGTTCCAACAGACCTCACTACCTCTGAGGATGCTTGCCATAGATGCAGGCGAAACGTCAGGAGAGAATGCCTCTAGACCATGGCCATATAGCCCAAAAAAACCTACAACAACCCAAAAGAGGAATGGCACACTTTCCCCCAGTTTTAAACTACAACACAGAATCCGAAAACACAGACAATTGTGGACTAATTCTGATATCTTCTTCACACACACATACCCACACATGCACCTGGTTCTTAAAGATTTGGAGGTGATATCAAAAGCAATGTGCATACAATGAGTAAATCCTTAAGAGCGTAGTAATGTTATTTTTTTGCTACTTTTATCCTACTGCTAGTCTTTAAAATAATATTTTGAGGCTCTGGCTCTTTTGCCTTAACTTTCCTGCCTTTCGCTATGATACCAGAAATACAGGAAGATTGAAGTCAGAAAACAAACACAGCATGCTTTTCCAATCCTTTTTGAGAGAGCTATAGAATTGGATCCAGAGATTAGTAGGCGTGCTGATGCACATTATGGGCTCTATTTCAGAGTATCCCCCAACTTTTCCCAGATCAAAGTGCGTAATGCATGTTGCTGTACACATTCATGGTGTGTTTCATCTAAACCCCACACTGTCAAGCTACCCTCAAACTGCATTAAGTGGTGAGTGTAGAGGTGACTTAAGTGTCTCCGATAGTGTTTGGAGGGTAGAGCTGTCAGTGACAACTCAGTGGGAAAGTGATACATCACAAACACTAACAGACCCCCTCCACACAGCTGAATAAAATCCCACATTATCTGCTTTGAATTGGAATATATGGCAGCGTGGATTCAGATCAAAGCACCCTGTTCAAAGCAGATATCGTGGGATTTTCTGCCTTGATATTCTGGGTTATATGGCTGTGTGGAAGGGCCCTAAGACACTTGTGTTTGTGGTGTATCACTTTCCCACTGAGTCGTCACTGATAGCTCTTATTTCCATGAATGTATCCCCTTTTAAAGCCATTTTGACATCTTGTGGCAATTGATTCCACAAGTTAGCTCTGTAGCTGTCTTACTTTTCTGCTACACCATCTGTGGTAGTGGTGTTGGCAATGTAATGGCATGGCTTAGTGGGGGCATGAAAAGGACTTTGGGTTGCTGTGCCTTACCTTGGAGCATTATACCAGTTCACATCTGGCACAGAGAGAGCATCTGTATCTTATCTGCTGAACATGGACTGCTCTATATGTCAAATTGGACTAAACTCTTTTGAAATCCTTCCCTTATCAAATCTAGGCTCCCTATCCTTCATTTACAGTCTATCTTTTAGAATGGGAGTGGACAATGTGTGGCCTTCCAGATTCTGCTATGCTGCAACTCCCATCAGTCTAAGTGCATGGTTAATGGTGAGAAAAGGTGGATGTTGCAATCTAGCTATAGCTGAAGGATCACAAGTTGCCCTTTTTATTATTCTGAGGGCCTTATCACATTAGCATATGGATTTGCCACTTAATGTGGGGACCTGGCAGGGAACGTGGAGAACCTGCCATCCCATGCCCCACATTGCCCAATGTATGCGACTTCATTTCTCCACAGAACTCTGTCAGAAGTAGATGTACATGGTGTAATGGGCTCCTTGACTAAAGGGGAGAGGAAGTGGCATACAGCAGGCAAATTAGCCCATATGATGAGTTCGAAAGTGTCACATTTCATGTTCGGCAAAATTCATATTTCCTGCTACTACAGTGTTTTTGCTCTCCTTTATTTTTTCCTGTATTTTTCCTCTAGGAAAAATAATTTCCTTCAGAGCTCCATGCCTGAGCAAATTGACTCACAAAATAAATAATACAATGGCTATCACAAAAGAAAATGACCCAATGACCAATCATACAAAAGAGCAAGCAGAGTAGTGCAAAATTTCTGCAAAGATTGACTGATATATTTTACTTAATGGAATATTACTTTTGTAATAGCATGCCAGTTGTATCATGTAGTTTGGGACCTCAGTCCTCTGGAGTTTTTGAGTCTCTGCCATATTGCCAGTGTGTTAACCTGTCTCCCAACACTTCATAGCTGGAAGCTGGAACACGTATCTAACATCAAAGTATGGTCAAGATAACAATAGTTATTAATGAGGAAAAACAAGCAAACTAGGAGAAGCTGCAACCGATTGCTTTTGCCTGAGTTTTCTAGAAAGGGAAAAATGCTGCCCACTCATCTCTTCTCCCATCTAAGGCCCCCTCTGCACTGCCATATAAGCCAGTTCAAAGCAGATAATCTGGGTTTTATATGGCAGCGTAGAAGGGGCCTAAGTTAATTGAGCACAAACTACTTTTGCTGCTTGAACTCACTTTTGCAGCATTGGCAGTGAACTGAAGACTAAAGGGAAAGCGGGAAGAGAGAGAGAGAAACTGGAACTTTTTAAAAGCAGCTGAAAAAGTGGGACAGCAGAGAATTAATTGGAGCTGGATTTATATTGCAATATAATTCAGATTCTACATTGCCAAATAATTCAGATAATCCACTTTATCATTTTTAAACTGGATTATATGAGTCTACACTGCTATATAACCCAGTTCAAAGAAGATAATCTGGATTTTATTTGGCAGTGTAGATCCAGCTTGGGACTGTCCCAGTCAAACCAGTATAGTTGGAGGCAGGGCTGTAGCCAAGGGGGGGGGGGAGTCAGGGGTTCAACCTCCCCCCATTTTTCAGGTTAAAAAAACTGGTTTACTCATTAATTTTAACTGGTTAACTAAATCGCCCTGCTAAGTCTATGAGAACAAAAATTAAACAAGTCCCTCCAGAATTGCAAGCCCTATCGCAAGCAAATTTTGACAATTTATTCATAGTTATTACTTGCAGCAATAGCTGATACAGTGGAAGCATGATTTGCTTTAAAAACTTCACACACCCGCTCCCAAATTTTTTTCTGACTACGGTCCTGGAGGGTATATCTTACAAGATGCATGTAACTTGCAGCACTTTATTCTAAATAGAATTATGTTGGCTGTCCCTTGGTCCTTTTCTCCCTCAGATTCTTTTTTCTTTGCGAATGGAAGTTTGTCCAACTTTACAGCAAAAATGGGGCAGCTAGAGCAGGCACTGAGAGCACAGCA